TATATATATAACACACAGTTATAACTATTTATGTGTTTTAACAGATATTACAATAAAATCGTTATTTTGACAATCTTTACTAATCGATTAGTGCACTTGGTTTAAAAATYGGTCCACTAGATAGCAATATTAATAGTATTTATTATAAGCACATTTATTTTAATTGGATTTTTTCTTAAGTAAGTTCAATACTATACTGTGGTCATGAACGTGTTAAATTAAGTACAGTTAACATGGCATGACTAATAAAATACTTCACTATATAAATAGTTAAATCTGTATAGCATAGTATGTGGTATTCAATGATATTGATAAAATACATTGTGTAATATATATATACCAGTTTCTGTAAAGTATGATATTTTAAATATTTAAATTCTAACAAATTACTTTAAAACYCTTAATTGAGTAAGTAAAAATAAAGATTTGTATATTAGAATGAATAATGAATAAAGGAGTATATGCTAAGAAGAAAATATCATTTATGATTCCGAATAATGTGTATTGGATTTTAGAGCAATATAAAACATAAGTGATAAATTTAACATTCAACCTAACTTCCCAATTTTTATCACAATCGAATGAAAATATTTTTGGTATACTAAATTAATATAGTAATGAATAATGATGGAATTTATTTATATACTTTTTAGAAATTAATAGATGATTTATGCTGAGCAGTCTGTTTAAAGCACTGCATTCCTGAAAACCTCACGAAATAATCTCAACACATGTTTTCTTATCACTAGTTAGTAGTCTTACAAAAAACAGCCTTWCTCCAACCAATTTCACATACAAATTTAGAAGAAGGAAAATAGCATGGAAGTACTTTAATTACATTTTTAATGTTCAAAGTATTTATAAAATTGGTTTTTAATTAGTTTGATAAAATACTATCATTTATCTTAATAGATGTGTAATTCTGAAATTAATATCCATATTATGTATGTATATTAACCAAACCATTTTTTTACTCATTTTTTCATTATGAATGTAAAGTCAAAAACAAAATATAATTCTCTAATATGAAGCTGTTCTTGGAAACCGAGTTACCTGACACACAAAATGCACCAAATAACAGTAGATGAACACCATCAACAAGTATTATACATTTA